GCCATACTGCTTCAATAAAGTTTTTATTGTGCAAATACAAAACGTTGTTTTTAATTATTTATCATAATTTATAATTTTAAACACAAGTGCCAGTAGTGCATATAGTTGGAGTATACAGCAATCCAGTTAAAATCTCAGCCAATAATTCATTACTTCTAAGCTAATACTTAACAATAAGACTATCAATTGAACACTGCTATGGCAAATTTTTGTGCACTGCCTTTTACAGACATTCTAATCATATGTCTAGGCTTAAGAGACTTAAGTACTGTTTAATACACCTGCAGCTTTTATAACATAAGACCTGTTACAGAATCAAATTTTCATTGTTTGAAAGTTAGAATTTTTGTGAGATGTGAAGGATGTTTTTCATATTATTGATGTCTAAAATAAGTGAAAATGTAAGTGGCATGACTGTATAAGTAATATACAGAATTATTAATGTTATCTTAACTTTGGCTTATTTAGGTTACTTTAGGACTAATATATGGCCAACATTGATTAATTCAAAAATACTATATTATGTTAGTGTAAGTCTTTTTTTCATGTAAAAACTTCTGAAAATTTGGTTACAGTGTTACACAGCTAACTTTTAAGAAGTTAACTGGTATTATACCATTGTAAAATGAAATATTACTGCAGGTAATACAGAGAAGTTAAACACCATAGTTTCTTGTTAACACAATACACTATGTTATCTGAACAGGCTTTCTACATTTATTCTTATTCATTCCCTAACAGTTTTTATACTTTGTTAGATAAAACTATAACTATCAGAAGTTTTATTCCATAATAATCAGTAGAACGACGGTAATAGTAAACATTCGACACTTTGTTTTCGGTAATGTACGTTTATTCTTCGGACGTTTCGGAATGTTCACATTCCATCTTCAGTGACTGTATTAATTAATCGATAGTATTAAATACACATATTCATTCAGTTGGAACATTTATAGTAGAATAAGGCGAGAGAAAAACAAACAATCTAAAACAACAAACAACAACCAGCAGGATTTAAACAGGAAATAACAAAAAGTTTTATTCTAGAAAATAAATTTAGGTATTCTAATTTTTATATCGTCTGACTTTAAATTTAGATTACTAGAAGAATATCAAAAATTTCTAGGTTTTTACTTTTTTGCCTAATAAATAAAATGAATGATGATTACTCATTTCCCTTCACTGGTTTCAAAGCATTTGAGTATTTGTGCAGTTGTAACTAAATAACATTTAAGGCTCCAACATTGATGTAAATTAGTAGTGCTTGATTCCATTTAATGTATTAAACATTATTATAGCAAATTTTAAGACACTGATAAGTGCTATTACTTTCTTATATAAATATATAAAAATAGGGAAGCTACACTATTAATAATTGTGTCTGGGACAAAATAATGGCCCATTTTGATTAGACAATAAGCACCAAACACATTGCTACAGAAATGGCATGCTCACACTACTAGTATATGTTTGCATAACTGTTTGTCTGAGCCATCACTGTTCTATGCACTACATCCAGCAGGATGCTTCAATTTGATGTGGTTTAACATTGTTCCCATACTGCCCCTGTTATGAAGTTCTGTAGAGCAGTCTACATTTTACTTTTTTGGTTTCCCTTCATACCAAAATATACCTAAACTGTACTTCACTTACTTCAAGCTTTCAAAGATGACACTACAATAGCCTAGTCAGTTTCCTGTCAATTTGTTATATCTCTCTGTTTGCAGTGAGTCAAAAAGTAGTTCCAATTAAAAGTGATTAAACTATCATTTGTGACATTAATTGCTATATTTGGAAAACACTACAACTATTTATTTGTTTTTTATGTCAATATATATATATATATATATATATATATATATATATA